ATAAGGGATAAATTGTCTCCACTTCATCCTCCCTGCCCTGGCTTGAGCTTCTACAGGCAGGGGAAGCTGCCACTGCCATTGCTGTGGCTGAGCCTTGCTGTTGATGAAGTCCGTAACAAAGCTCTGGGGACTGCAGTGGATGCCGTGTCCATGCAGCCAAGCTGTTGATCCAGTTTCTGTCTGCCATGCTCCCTTATCACATCCACAAAGCAACATTTAAAAAATTATGCAATTAATCAACAAGACTCCTGATTAATCAGAGGCCTAGTGTCCTCACATGCGTATGCACATTGGCTTGAACAGATAATCCCTAAAAGTCGCATAACCATCTGCATCTCAACCTGCTTGCTGGCAAGCAGTCATGTGGGACAGTGGCCTTTCATGGGCATTGCTTGGAGTACATAATCAGGCAGGGAGCCTCTGGGGGGAAGCTTTGTTTGGCCCCGGGTGCAGAAGCAAGTGCTGCTTCTAAGTGCATCTTTACTTCATTCAGGAAAAGAATTGCACTACACACAAACATTTGCATATTGAATAACAATATCACTTACCACTTTCCCTCTTTAGATCTCAACACTGTCCACAAAGGCAGGTAAATATTATCCTCTGCTTACAGATGGTAAAGCTGTGGCACCAAGCAGAGAAGTGACCTTGCCCAATATCAAACTGCTGGTCAGTGGCAGAGCTGGGAATATCTCTCAGGTCTCTTGACTTCTCACTCCGAGAAAGAAATGGTTTATACTCTATATTCATCATTTAAAAAAAATACTTGATGAACAAAGCATCACTCACAGAACACATGGAAAGAATCATCCTTGAAGGGCCAGGTGCATGGCATTATAACAGAGCTAGTGTGAGGATGAGACACTGCTTTTAAACAGATGAAACTGCTTTCTCCACACTCTGGCACAAATCCCCCTTCCCTCTACCAGTGGATTATCTTCCCAGTTTCTGAAAGCAAAAAATAAATTCTCCTTTGGGCTGATAACAAGCCTGATCATCATCAGCCTAAACCAGAAGAAGCTACGTCAGATAAATCCTCAGGATCAAAAGGTACAAGCTCCTGAAAATTAAGTTATTTAGGGCTATAAACTGCTGGAATCCAGCACACAGCTGAGGGATGATTTGAGAATTTTGAAGGGACTGACCACCTCTTCACTAGCATAACATTACTGCTGTGTTCATGCACATGCTCATTCCTGACAGGATGAGGACCCCTAGGTACATACAATATGTCAGAATTCCCAGGCTTTACATCTGACAATATAGGTCAACAATTTCCAAAGTGAGGATTGATGCTTTTCAGGGTGTGCTATTTGCTGATTATATAGTTGTCACATGCTAGTCATTCTAAATCAGAAGTTACACTTAAAAATTCTGGCCCTAGCTTCAGACTTAATGGCTATTGATCTTGACCATTTAAATACATGTAATCACACTGAATTGCCCCTCCACCATATTACTTTGTTCAACAACTATCACAGCTGCCTGCAATGTTGCAACACCTAACCTATATACAGTGTGGACTATCACACTCTGCAAAGTGCAAATATTTTACTTCCTGCTTTCATTATTTGAAATCCTCAGATGCTATTTGTTACCTGACAGACTCCCCACACCCAAACTAAATACTGTTCTTAGTGTATCAATGTTTGCAGCCACACACAGCTTTCTATTAATTGATTATGTTGAGACACTAGACCTCCATTGACAATACAGAGGATTTAGTTCCCAAAGAAAATGAGGCTTGTCTTCTACATATGCTTTCCCCTCTCCAGAACCACAAACAGAAAGGAAGGAAGGAAGGTAAAGAAAGACTCAGAACCTCAGACATATTCAGGCATTTGACTACCAACAGGAGCTTTGCCTTGGCAAATGTCTGCTGAAAAGAAGAAAGGAAACTTGGAGAGAAAGAGAGAGAGGAAAAAAGGAGAACAAAGGAAAAGGGAAGCAAAGACAAAATTACAAAAGACTCCAGTCATTATAGCTAATTGGAATATTTCCATGTCTTTGACTGGAGCAGGAGGTCACAGGTTGGTGTCGACCCGGAGTGCTGCCAGGGCCCCTGCCAGGGGG